AAATGTTAGCATCTCCATTCTACAAAACTTATTTTTCAGGATAATTATTACGAATTCGTGTTAACTCGGAATTTCACGAAACTGTGCATCATACGCAAAGACAGACTTTTTGCGACTGTTGTCTAGTGGGCATGCTGTGCAAATTCCATCTCAAGGGTGCTTTCACATGTGTTCCCTGCTGTTCCGGGTACAAATCTGTTTGTTTCTGGAACAGCACGGAACACATGTACAAATCTGTACATGCTGACGCCACTCGGTCGAACTCATTCTCTCATTTTCCGGGTCAAGATGGATCTACGAGCCCTCGCCTCGACAGTTTTCGCAACACTGCTTGCTCGTGCGGCAGCGACCGTCGATCATGACAAGGTCGAACCTTTTCCCCAACCCGTGCCTGTCACGATCTCTGAAAAAGCTGCCATCAAGTTCAAGCCTCAACTTTACACTCCCTACAACATCTGTGTGCCGTTCCCCGGCGTAAATGCTGTTGGTGAGGTTACTGGTGGACTCAAGGGAACGAACGGAAACGACGCGTGCAAGTATGCGCCTAAAGGCTCGCAGATCTACGGTCGAGGTGGGTGGTACAAGGATATCTGGGCAATCATGTACGCGTGTTACCTCCCAAAAGGGTTTTGGATGGATTTGCCTTCGAGGCGTCATGACGGGAAGAGCGTTGTAGTGTGGATTAACAACCCCGGCTTTGAGACACCTAAGATTGTGGGGGTTTCCATGTCCAAGTCGGACACGAAGTACTACAAGGAAACTAAAATAGGGCCTTTCGCTTTTGCAGGCTACCGAAAGGAAGGTCGAAGATCCGAGCGAGCTTACATTTACGGCTCTAACACATCTCTCCGCTTCCAGTATGAGAGTGGCCTGGGCTCTTCGTATTTGAGCTTTGCTGATTGTGATGGTGAGTACCAGGACTTGATCATGTGGGAACAGCTAACAGACGCGGCTCGTGCAGCTTTAAATGATGGCAACAATTTTGGTGATGCAGAGGTCCCTTTCAGTGATGAACACTACAAACAGCATCTCGACAAGGCGTGGCCACTGTAGCTTTCAATTTAAAAAAAAGCATTCTAAATGTAGGAAATGTCCTACTTTACAGATAATAAATGAAAACGGAAGTTTTAATTGCAGCGTTTGGGAATCAATGTTTTAATCTTGATACCCGCGTTTGATTCATTATTGAATCAAGCGGAGCGAACCGCTATACATACTATCGTTCTCTACCTCCGGAGGATTTCGACAACATAAGTACATGATATTATTGCAATTCTCCCACCTCCATTATGATCCTGATATCTGCTGCTCTTTCGGAAATCCTAAAAAAAAA